GGCCAAGGCGCACAACCTCGTTGCCCACTTGGCCACCAAATTCGTCAAAGTGCTGGGCGCTCATTTTGCACTCGCCCATGATGACGGGTCGCAGCAGGACGTCAAACCCCACCCAGTCAGCGTGCATGTTGGCTGAGCCAAGAGATGCCTGGTGTACCAAGTAAATGGGGTTTCTCACTGGCGCCAGCTTGGTGGCGAGGGTGGATGCGGATGTGTCAGCCAACGGCTCCGTCTCAGATGGGCTGGAGACAGCAACCTGGGCCGAAGTCGCAGCAAGGGCAGGGGCAATGAAGTGGTCCTGCAAAGCCAGTGTAATCAGTGACGAGAAGTGTGGCTCATGGCTCTTCACTTCGTTAGTCAGGCATGCGTTTTTGTACGCGCGGAGCAAAGTCGTATGTATGCCTTCTTGAGGCAGATTGGCAGACAAAAGCTCTTGAGCTCGCTGGACAATCTCAAGAGCCAGGTAATGACAGCTCGGAGGTAGTTGCACAATGCCAAAATGAAAATTTTTTTTGACGTTGTGGTTGATGTCGCTAATTTTCGGGGTGTTTGAGGGTGACATCGTGGGCACTTTGGCCTCCACGTTCGAGGGCAACGAGGCTCCCTTCGGGGTCCACTTGTGTTCTAAGAATTATTGACGGTCCCAAGGCACCACAAGTAAGCTTGAGCACGTCCATGCGCACAGGGCAGGCGGGAAACAGCCGTCGCCTGTCCCGCGCCAAGCCAGCGAGCGATGCTTTACCAGGAATGTGCACATAGTTTTCAAGCTGGTCGCAAGTAAGACGGTTTTTCTTGCAGAGAGTGTACAAAAAGGAAACGTCGTCGACCGACATGCTTGCTAGATGCTTCACGAGGTTATAGCCTTGAGGAGGCGCAAAATCTTGCACGAGGCACTCGAGCTGACAAGCCATAAACAAAGTGAGGGTACGCTGTGAGTCCTTCGTTCCAGACATTTGCGTTGTTAGACAGCCGTTTGTGGACACGAGGGGCGGCGGGAAAACCTGATCAACCAACCACTGCGTTTCGCTCCTCCCGCTCCCGCTCCCGCTCTGCTCCCGCTCTGCTTGTGCTTGTCGCTCCTCCCGCTCTGCTTGTGCTTGTCGCTCCTCCCGCTCTGCTTGTCGTCGCTCCCGCTCTGCTTGTGCTTGTCGCTCCTCCCGCTCTGCTTGTCGCTTCTCCCGCTCTGCTGCTTGTCGCTCCTCCCGCTCTGCTTGTGCTTGTCGCTCCTTGAGAAAGCTAGTCAGCACCAACGCGGTCGTTTCGGAATCCAGATTTATTCCTTTGAGGCGCTCCGCCAAATCAGCAAAGGCCGAATCGAGAGCCATGCTTGCGGGTCTTGCGTTCAAGACACCAGACGCGAGGCGGGGAGGTAGCCAAGTGATCAGCAAAGAGAAGCAGAAAGAAAAAAAAAAAACGGTCAAGCAAGAGAAGAAGAAGAAGAAGAAGCCAAAAAGTAAGAAAAAAAATGCACAACCCGCACCCTCAAAGAAGAATGGCATCAAGCCGCCAAACACCATCATCATCTAAAAAAAGAACAACGTCTCGGTTTTCGGCGCGCACCGCCAAACGGCTCGAAACGGGTTTTTTCTGGGCCCACTGTTTACTGCTCGTGCCAAACATTGTTTCCTCGCACGTGACCAGCTCCGACACGGGTGAACGTCATCGTTGCTCAAGCAGACCACGAGAGGGTGGGCGCCCAAGGCCAACGGTGTGCGCAAGTGCAGCTGTGCATTCACCTTGACTGCTGTGCTCGACAAAACATAATATGCTGATGGCGTGTCTCCTGTGCTCTTGGCGTATGTGATGGACGGAAGCACACACGAGCGCACTGCATAATATGGTCTAACATGTAAATAATCAAACCCCTCCGCCCAGATGGCGAAGAATATTATCATATTTTTTAATGGACGGGCGCGAGTCCTGGATATGCCAAGACGTAGACCAGCACAGACCCGGGCAAGAATCGCCGTGTCTCTAGACCCTTTCCTCTCATCCTGTTTAACATGTACCCCTTGATGGTGGGTCGGTCAGCTGCATGGTCACAACACCTGGCTTGTCTAGCGCAGGAGACAGCCATGGCAAGAGTAGACAGACATCAAACCCTCGGCATCAGCAGGCGGGGGCTCAATTTCTTGATGCCTGGCCAAGGAGACCACAGGTCGGGTTGCAGTGCATGATTGCCTGTCTTGAGGCCCGGATCAGAGGAGGCAACCAGTTGATGTCAATTTGTACAACACGACCAGGCTGACCCGAAAAAAATAAACCCGCAAAAAATAAGAAATGAATCAGGCTAATAATCGCTCTTGGCCACGTGAATGCCAGATGGCGTTTTGTCAAAGCTTGCCCATGATGTCAAGTTGACAGAACGCACCTACAAGAGCAGCAGGCAAAAGAAAATACAGCAGTGTGAGGGGCTGAGGAGCAACAAGGCTGCGTCGATCAAAGGCACATGTGGCAAGAGTGGGGCTGTGGGCAAGTCTCAGAAAAGGCTTGCTCGTCAACGTCACGACACAAGATCGTGACTGGGGATAGTGGTTCTGATTGATCCATCATGGACGTGCCCAAAACCCCACTGCCAGGCGTGGCAAAAAACGAATAAGAAAGATTGAGTGACGCAGCTTACCAAACGTGTGTTTCAGAAGCGACATGTCATTGGGCACGTCGGTCACTTGGTGCCCAACGTGGCGAGGTTCAGAGTAGAGATGTGTGCAGGTCACTAAAAGGAGGTGTCAAGGGTATTTGTGAGAAAGCCACGAGCGAGAAGAAACCCTA